TATAAATAATAACAAAATATTTAATATTATTAAAAAATGGTTTATTAAAGGCATCTATATTATTTGAAGATGTTTTTAAATGATTATTTAATAAATTAAAAATTAAATATGGTTTATAATATAACAACGATTATTTAATCAAATATACTTAAATGTTTTCCATAAATTTTCATTTTTTTTTTTTTTTTTTTTTTTTTAAGGACGATGAATAATATAATATAATATAATATATATAGTAGTAGTTAACAAATTAATTCAAAAAATCATTGTTTTAATAGCTTAAACGAATCCTTTATACAGCATAAATTTACAGAATGATTGTCTAAAATTTTAATACTACAAAGATTGATTATTATAAAATGGTAAGGTTGTTTTTAACAAAAACGAATTACATGTATGATTTTAAAAAAGACAAAATATATAATTTTTTTTTTTTTATAAACTTTAAATTTATTTTTTTCTTTTTAAGGAATTGTTATTTTTCACCACATATTTTTCAATCATTTAAAATGAACATTAAAATAGTTGTTTGTTATGTAATATCAAAAAAAAAAAAAAATTTTACTATAATAATACCATTTTTATTTATATGCAGTAGATATTTATTTTAACAAATATGGAACGATTGAGATTTGTAAAGCAACGATTTATGCCATAATTACGATATGATGTTTTTTTTTTTTTCTTTGCATATTTAATAGTTACTAGCTGATCAGGGGACCAAGTCTCACCAAATATCGCATATTCTAGTTATCTTGTGGTATCAATTTTGATGCTTCAACCTGCTTCATCCAGTGAAAAAGCTTTTAATAATTCAGCAAATTGTAAGATGTATGCAGAAAATCGCGACACGTTCTACATTGGTCCCTTGATTTCATTCAATGTTTATAATAAAAAGGATATTATTATTATTATTTTTTTTTTTTTACTTCGTTGCGTATTATTAGAACAGATGAACTTTCAATGAACCCTTATAAGTTTATAATTTTTACGATATGTTAATTAGATATTAATGGACGAGATGTCAATATATCTTAATTAAAATTGCCGCGGACTGCATCACCTCAGTGCAGGATACATCATGCACAGTGAGTGCGCCAACATATTTTTTTTTTTTTTTTCTTTTTTTATTTAACTAACAATAGAGCACTAATAACATGTACACTGTAAACATTAGAATAAACTCGTAATTAAACTTGTTCACAAACACTCTTGCTAAAAGAGAATATATATATATATATTTTTTTTCGGAAAGAATCCCGTCATCCGCGATTTAAAAAAGAAGAACGACTTGAGTAAAAATATACATTATCATCATGTTATAGTTTATTTATACTTTAATACATGATTGTTTTTATACAATCCTGCATCACGTTCGTTTTAAGAGATTTCTTTTTCCCTTCTTGATTGTTTATCAGAGGAAACGTATATTACGCGTATATAAATAATAACCCTTTTGCCTTATCTCTCATTAGTCTAATATTCGGGACCTGAAAAAAATTCATTCATGCATCGACAAAAGATGTCATTATTTACTTTTCTTTATGTAGAGCGGCGTAAAAGCAAATTACCATCCTTAAAATCATCAAAATATGTTTCAAATTGGAGTCGATTAAGATTTAATAAAAAAGATCCATAAGAAAACAATAAAAAAAAAAAAAAAAATACGCGCACGGTGTCAAATGAATTTTTTCGGCAAAAGAAACGTTGAGGGAAAAAAACGCCCAACCTAACTGCATGGCGTTAAAACCAACCAATGTTTATTCGTGTTCACTTTACGATGTATTTGGTTAGTGAGAGCTCCACTTGTACAACATTTTGGATAAATACGTCTTGTTTGTGTTTTTAGGCTCTCTTTTATGGTCAAATCGGTTATACAAAATTTGCATGATTTTTTTTTTTTTCGCTCTTTTCTGCTGACGAAAGAAGATGACGAAAAAAAAAAAATAAAAAGAGAGAAAAAAAAAAGAAGAAAGAAAAAAAAAAAAAAAGAAACTGCAGCATTGGGTTGCGATACGTGTTGTGCAACGCGGTAACCCTCGTACAACATTGTATTACATAAAGTCATGGAGATAAACCAAATCGTAATTGGAGAAATGTTCATTGTATGACAATCTAACTTTTGTTGGAAGTATGGAATCTGTCAAATGTTACTTTATAATTTAAAAAAGGATGGATCCAGATCCACGATAGACGATGAGCATACAAGGGTGTTTCTCTTAGAACAATCCAAGAAACCTATATATACAGTTGTGCAATAATACGTGGAATTTGTAAATAATCGAGATTGGTAAACTGTCGTGAAACAAAATGAGCCCTGTAATAATCAGGTTTTTTTTTTAATTATTTGCGCCACCCGCTCTTATTCAGCGTTGGTATTTGTTCATCCGCTTATCACTGACTTACAATTTGTTCGGTCTCTCTTTGAAAACCAAAAGTAAAACCGGTCAAGATTTCCCTCTGATGTATATAACGTATTTACGAGAAACGAGCGGAAAAAAAAAAAAAATTTTTTTTTTTCTCTTTAATAGTATTAATTTTTTTTTTTTTTTTTTGGTAATATACCCGTTTTTTTTGTCACATTAGTGTGAGTCAGGATAACTTACAATGAAAAAAAAAAAAAAAAAAAAACAAAGTAGGTATCACAATTAAAATTTTCCGACTATGAAACTTTTCAATTTAAACATATACAATATTACTATATTTGTAAAGAGACGCGCGGGGATGAGCCGTGGGATATAAGGAATTAACCGCTGATATGGTATCAAATACCAAAACACAAATTCGAACAATGTCAATAAAATGTCAACATGTTGTCATTCATTGCACTTGAATTCTAAATATTTTTTTTGTCATTTCATTTGCTCTTTCCTAACAATAATATTGTTCTAGCTGACTTCAGCTTAAACCTCAATCCGCCAATAACCGGAATTTTTGTGAAGGGACGGGGGAAAATGCCATAAGAAATACTTTTTTTTTGGTGCTTGCTTTGAAATAAACTTTTAAAGTAGTTCATTGTTATCTTTCCACTGTTGACCGTTTGAGTAAAGAACTTTGATGTTCGAGTTTCAGAAAGTGAATCAGACCCTGTTACTCCTAATTCCGCTCTCGTTTGCCCTCCCCTCCCTTCATCTACTTTATTAGGTTATTCATCATCATTTTATTTGACTTTATTTATTTATTTTTTTTTTTTTTATATTTGTAAAATATTTTTTTTTTTTATTTATGCGCTTACAATAACAATCTGACAGCCTCTCAACTTTAATGTCCTTTTTTTTTTTTTTCTCTTTGTTAGATGTTGGTTTAAAATAAATAATGTAAAAAGTTTATCTCATCTCCATTTAGTATATTTGACACTTGTATTACATGGCGACAAACAGGAACTTACTGTTTGGTTTTTCTTTCGATATACTAGAGATTAAGGGAAAAAAAAAAAAATTTATATTACAAAAACACATTTTTTTAATATACGCGTAGCACAGCAGTAGATCAAAAAAGGGCCCGAAAACACTCGACGAATAAACAGAATAAAACCATGAAATTTCTCCTACCATCATCTCACACAAAACGATCAATGTTTCAACTGTTGTCGCTTTTTTTTGAGACATTAGGGCTGTCCTTTAATCCCTCCTGCTAACCGTTAAAGACCTTGTATTCTTTTTTTCTTTTTTCTATTGATTATAGATTGTTTTTTCTTTATTCACATTTTGGGTAAATTCACGAATAACGTATATATAAAGGATCTCAAATTTCTTCGTCACGCTCTCGCAAGAAAAAAAAAATATTTTTTTTTTCTTTTGAAAAAGAATAAAAGAGAGAAAAAACCTTTCCAGGTCAAACAACTTTTTTCAGTTCTTCCATTTTTACGATATCTATTATCGGACGTAAATTAAAAAACACCATATCATATTATCTCGCAAATAATCGGATAATATATTGGAATTTTTTTTTTCTATCTTAGATTATTATTATTCCTTTCATCTTTTTTTTTTTTTTTTTTTTTTACGCAGTCATTTGGTAAAAAAAAAAATCCCTCCGATTCTTATTTCCTGGTCTTATTATACAACATTCTTATTTGATTGTATTTATTTCATTTTCTGGTTGGTTATAAAAGAACCAACAATTAATAAATTTTTTTTTCTTCCTTTTTTTTTTTTTTTATTTTTTCCTCTTTATTCTCTCATTCTTCGCTATCTGAAGAAATTTCATTTTTTTTTAATCACGATTTTCATAATTATTTGATTTTAAAAATCGAATTTTTTTTCGTTTTTTTTTTTTTTCCAAATTTTACCTCTCATCATCCCCCCTTTTCGCCCCTGCAACTAAACCTACTTTACCCCCACTTTTTCTTTTGAACACAATCTGCTATTTGCCATAGTTGATAAATATAAAATCCCACTCTAAAAAAAAAAAAAAAAAAAAAAAAAAAAAAAAAAGAAAAAACTGGTTAAATTTATCAATATATATCATAATCATCACATATATATAAAAATATATGTATGTATGTATGTGTGTATATATATATATATGCGTTGTTGTATAACTGATAAATAATATACCAGGTACTGTAAATATAATTAAAATATCTAAAAAAAGTTGTCACACAGGGCCCGTTCTGTACGCATATAAAACAAACATCCCCTCGTTGACGGTCGGAACAACACAACCTCAAAAAACCGATAATTTTCTTTCTTGATAAAAATCCAAAAAAAAAAAAAAATCTTTTTAGAAAGATATATATATAACAGCGTATATATATATATAAGAATTAAACTTATTTCGTACGTATAAAATTATACTTAACTTCAAGTCGCGTCAGGACAAAAGTTTTTTTCCTTTTCTTCCGTCCTTGATGTAAGTTTGGTTAATGAATAACGATAAAATTTCTCGAAATTATTTCCTTAATTAAACAAAATTTTGATTTCCTTTTGAAAATTTAGCATCAAAATATATATATATATATATAAATATATAAATATAAAATTAAAAAATAGATAGCTATGAGCATCGAAGCGACTTTTCGAGGTTATATTGAAACGACACAAGATACTTTACTCATATTCGAAGCTTGTCGACGAGGTGTACTTCCAAGGATATGCCGACGTCTTCAGGAAAAAGAACGAAAAATCGTAACTTCAGGAAGTGTATTCGTTTTTGATGAACGCGAATCCGGAATAAAACGTTGGACTGACGGTTTAGTATGGAGTCCTTCACGAATCCTCGGAAATTTTCTTATCTATCGTGAACTTGATAAAAGAGCCCCGACAGGTAAAAAAGACTCGAGTCCGGTAGAACGTCAAAGAAGCAATAGTACCGATATGGAATCTCAGACAGAAAAGAATAAAGAACGCGCTTTGGTTGGAAGTTTGACAAACTCTTATCGATTCAAGAAGGGTGGCTTGATCAAAAAAACAATGTCAATTATGGTTAATGGCGTCAGCCAACATATGATCAGTTATTATACAAAAGAAGATGTCCTGGCCTGTAAACTCAAGACTCCTTCCTCCATACCAAACTTGGCCATTCTAGAGATCTCTCCCGAATTCTTATTAAAGCAAAACTTTAGGATACCGCCCGTGATAGAGTCGACTTACGAACAAGGTGAACAAAGCTCACCAAGTACGGTTGTTTCAACTGTGACAGCTCCCATAAATATGCACGTAGGTTCATCACTGACGATGAACTTTCCTTCCCCTGATCATTCCATCTTCATTGCAGAATTGGAAGGGATGACTTATGGTTCAAAACAATCCTCGGTATCCTCTCCACATGCTATCCTACCTAAACCCGGTACTGTAAGCCCATCACGATTAACAAATATGGACTATCCTCATACCTCTCGCATAAAGGTTGAAATGGATCATTCGAATCAATCCGGTGTTGACTTGTATCGTTCTTCAACCTATTCGACTGGTCCGGCTACCTCATCCGGTTATCCTTCAACTATGCATCCTTCCACTTCTCATTATACACCTTACGGTCATCCTGTCGCAAATGGCCCTGATGGATCCCATACATTACCGATGCCATCTCTGAGACCTTTTGTGAATCGTCAACCTTCTTATGAATTTCCTCCCCTTACACCTCACGTTAATACTTCGGTTCCACCAAGATTGTTAGCTTCCTCGCAACCCTTAATACCAAGTATAGGTTCTAATCAAAACGAATATAATAATTATTATCATTCGCCTCCAAATAGCGGGAATTCTCAACCTAATGGTAGCTGGTCTGACTATCAATTTTCTTCGTATTCATCGTCAAATTCAAATCATTCGCATGGAAATGGAAGTCAATCCACCACGGGAAATTTGACTTCAATCAATCATCAAGCGCAGTCGAATAATAACCCTCACGCAGAAACAGGTAGCGAAGTGTTTTATGCTACTGCCACTGCCACCGGTAATGATTCTGCCACCCATCCTATCAACACGCTTAGCCACGTGCCTTTATATACAACTCCATATCATGATTTATCACCTTCCCTCCCCGAATTATACAATTCTTCTGCCCACTCACCTACAACCAACTCCGCACACTCTCAATCAAATCAGCATGAACATCTAGCGACTTCTCCATCTCCCACACTTCCCGCTATTGCTTCGCCTACCAGTACCGCAAGTACAAGTAACAATAACGCGCCTGTAACGCCTCCTCTTAGTTCTCCTAATACCAGTAACAACGCTACAATCGTCAGTCACGGCAATGGTGGTACGGGTCTTTATAATTCAAATTATTCATCGTATTATTCCTCGTGGATAAAGTCTGAAGCGTATCCCACAGTTTCAATGCCCTCTAGTTCATTCGTGTACGATCCTTATCTAGTAAGGCCTGTGGATACATGGGGAGGGAATTGAAAATCCACTTCATTATTAAGTAATTGAAGAAAATAAAAAATTAAAATCCTATCAATTAAAAAAAAAAAAAAAAAATAATTATAAAAAAAAAAACTTTGGGTGGGCTTAGGTAATAATATATATAAAACTACGGAATAATAATATAAATATAAAAAAGGGATTAACTTTTTTTTTTTTAAAAAAAAAAAAAAAAAATTAAATAAAATAAAATAAAAGACTTATAAGTGGTAGTGAGTATTTTCGTGTAATATAGTTATTTTTTTTTTATCTTCTCTTTCTTTTCCGCTTGTATTGTCACAAAATACTTTTTATTGTAAAGATATTATAGCGTTTTACCCCTCTCTTTTTTTTTTTTTTTTTAAAAAAAAAAAACAAAACAAAAAAACATTTTATTTTTTTTATATTTTTTTTTTGTAATTTTTTTGTATAGCATCCTTTCATAACTTGTAAAGTTTTCTCCTTTTTCTTTAATCCCGTTTTATTTTAAAAAAAAAAATTTTTTCATCAATTCGCTTCCTAATCTCCCATTCCTATATAAAGGAGATTTCTTAAGAATTTTATTATATTATAAGGAACGCCACGCACGAAAAAAAAAAAAAATCTTCCAAAAGTAACTTTTTAACATCAAAAAAAAAAAAAAAAAAAAAAAATTCAAAAAAAAAAATTTAATTGTACATTTTCCTCGTGTTGTTCGGCGTTTATTACTTGAAACTTTTTTTTTTTTTCCTTTTAGGTTTTATTATTAGGTGTTTATTTCATGTGGTTTTAGAGTTTTTTTTTCAAACACATACAATGTTACCTTTTAATGTTGTATGTTTTAAAAAAGAAGACTTCTGTAATGGTCATTTTCTAGGGGATATCTGGGTTAAAATTCATTAAATATCATCGTTTTAATCAAAGGAAAATAATTTCTTATTCAATGTCATTTGATTCTATATTATTCAAACAATTAATAAAACGCGACGTTCTCACGGTCAAAAACTTTGTGTTTCATTCAATCATATTAAAGTTGATACGCGTGTAAATTTTTTGACAGGTTTATTTTATTGTAAAATATCGATTACATTGACAGAACTTTAATTTATTTCCGTAAAAAAATATCCGTTAATTTGTCACACTTTTTTAGGTACCATCAACGCGAATCTTCCAAATACGCGAGATAATTTTGTAGTAGAACTCTTGCTTATGAACCTGTTTTAAATCGATCGATCAAATTAAAAAAGAAAAAAAAAAAAAAATAGTAATTTCAAACAGAAATTTTTATTACCCAAATTTATCATTTACTATAATTGTCAAGCGTCTGGCGCAGTTCTGTGCAATTTCCGCGCATCATCAGTTGATCGAACTGGACGCGATAATCAAAAAAAAAAAAAAAAAATCGGGGAAATATATTAGGAACGATTCGAATTCTCACATATGGGAAAATCTAATTCAATCAACCCTTAAAAAGGCTCAATTACTTTGCTAAATTCAAGAATCCTTAAATGGAAAAGAATATTCAAAAAAGATTCGCGTTTTTATTATATATATATATATATATTTAGAACCCGATTTTTGAAAAGAAAAAAAATTGGAATCTTTTTTAAAAAAAAAAAAAAGATTTGATGCGATGCCGGGTAATTGATAAGAATTAGATATCACCATCATTTAAAATCACTAAATCACAGTTTAATCGGAGACAATTGAAGAGCTGAATCTAAATGGGAAAAAAATTTTATTCGTTACAAAAATTTGTCCTGTTTATGCAATGGACAATGGAAATCTTGAAAAAAAAAAAAAAATCGGCAAGTTGGAAATTTAAACTTTTGAGCTAATCTTTTTTTTTTTTTTTTTTTTTTCCCAAGAATTCTGGTTTTATAATACTCAGAGATTTGGTATGTGTACGTAATTTATGTAATTCATCAATTTTACCTTAATTAGAATGCATTTGTTACCCTCTATTGTTTTAAAACAAGGTTCCATGTGGTTTTAGACTTTGGCGCAATCGATTTAAAAAAATTTTTTTTTTTCCTCAACATGCAAGATTATAACGCCAATAAAGTTTAAACACACAATGTAATTTTTTTTTTTCGTTCCATTATTCATCTTGCTTCCTATTACGTAATACAATCGTTCCGAATTTCATATAAATTCATTGTTAGATTTAAAAGATATTCTTCATTAAGATTAAAATAAACACAATAACAAGTCTGAATTGATGATTAAGTTCTTCCGCAGCAACACATCATGATTTCACGTGATGAGATAATGTAGCACAACCGATTGACTCGATTAGAAAGGACAAGATGAATTGAAAGATTGATAAATGATAACCAAAAATTTTCTCTCCTTTTTTTTTTTTACCAAAAAAAAACGATAAAATAAGAAAATAAATTTTGCGCAAACAATCGTAATGGCCTTTTCCTGGAAAGCCGCTGGTATTAGGTATGTGAGAAATTTTCCAAAACGAATCCTTAAAATAGGCTGACTTATTTTCTTGTCATAGTTACCTCAAATATACCCAGATCTGTGCTCGTGCGGTTCGAAATGCACTTAAAGACGAACAGCGGTTGATAGCACAAAGACGGGACGAGCAAGGAATCAAATTCGCTAAATGGGATGGTGGTAAACAGGGAGAGTTGGTATGTGTTTTTTTTTTGTTTTAACTATTTATATTTCATATGTTGAAAATAAATGGAAAAAGGGAAAATTTCGGATTAAAAAAATTTTTTTTTATTTGATTTAGAAACTAATTAATCCTCAACAGTGATTTGAAATTAAATTTGTAATTCTACGGTCCAAATAACCGGAGCATCAGTTTCAATTGTTATAATGTCATTTATCAAAACATTTGAAGTGCTAATCATATCCCCGAATGCTGATGTAAAATTCGCTAAAGAAAAAGAAAAAAGAGTAATATAGGTTATTACGAAAATAGATCGTACTATAAAATTAATAAAATATTTTATTTATAAATGATACGCACTCATGTTCCATTTCAACCCAGTTGTCGTCAAAGTAGCTCTTTGAACACCAATTGGCAAAATTCCGCAAGTTGGTCCTTCTATCTTTCTATCACATAAAATATTATGTTTCCCCTAATGATAATGAAATCTTTATGAAAATCCTCTTATCAACCAAAAAAATCCCCCCCAACTTTTTAATATTTCTTACCTTTTTAAGCAAAAAACTCATATTTTTATCGGATACGAGAAAAATTTTCCTTTCATCTCTAAGTTTATATAGATAATGAATGTTTGACATTATCTGATCCAATCTGCCTCCAGAAGATCCAATTGCCAACACATCGTACTTTGAGAAATTTTCCTCTTCCTTGATACGAACAAGATTAATGCATTTCATGAAGTCTGTAGATTCTTGTTCAGGTTCACATTGGATTTCTGTACCTTTAGAATGATAATAGCTTCGAACGTCATCCCTCAACGAATCCAAATCACCTCTAATATAATTAGGAATATATTCATCTTTAAACGCATCGTACACATGATTCGCACCACCATCCGCACAAATTTTTATATCGGCTATTTTATTTATAATGAACAATGATAAATTTTTTTTTTTTTTACTTTAAAATGAATCTTAATTGAATGTTCTATCGTATTAACGTACCGTTTTCCCACAATGTTTTAAAGATATTTCGACGTAAAATTGGTTGATTTAGTATGATGATACTATATGGAGCTCTTTTACCTTTTTTTCTTAGAAATTCAGAGATTTTCCAATCAAAAGTTGCCTCGTTTGTAGTCGTCATAATTTTTTTAGAAAAAAAGGAAGGGAGGGGAAATCTGATCTTCATAATGATTTGTTTACTTATTCGGAAATTGTTAAAAAACCTCCACAAATGTATACCTGCTTTACCCTGCAATTAACAAATAAATTAAAACAAATTACATAATAATTAATAATAATTGTCGTCGACTCGATGCTTTTAAACCAAACATGTTGATCATATGATTTACATTCTCGGAAACGGGGCTTAAGTACTTTCCACCAATCATAATAGGTCAAGTATTCTCTTTATTTTTAATGACTAGTGATTTTAGATTTCAAAGGTCTTAACTTTCTCAATTTTGATTCATTTTTTTTCCTTCTTCCTCTATAAAACAAAGTATTTACACCGAAAATGGCGAATACAGTCTCTTACAATTTAAGAAGTCCCGGTAAATATAGATTTATATTTTTAAATTTTGTTCTTGACCTAAAATTACAGGGTTTAAGTTTTATTATTTTAAAACACTTCTTGAATCATGACTTACACATTCTAATTTCTCCAACTTATTTATAGCCGTTAAGAGGCTTTTGCAAGAAGCTCGCGAATTACAACAAGATAAATGTAGCGATTATAATGCTCAACCCCTTGAGGTAAGTTGCGATGAGAATTCTTATTCGGCCAACATAGAAATGTCGATTAATTTTTTTTTTAAAAAAAAAAAAAAAAAACAAATTAGGATAACCTTTTTGAATGGCATTTTGTTATCCGTGGACCCGATGGTACTGAATTTGAAGGCGGAAGATATCATGGACGTATTCTCTTACCATCGGAATATCCATTCAAACCACCAAATCTTATGCTGATGACTCCAAATGGACGATTTGAACTTAACAAAAAAATTTGTTTGAGTATTACCGGATATCATCCGGAATATTGGCTACCGGCTTGGGGAATCCGCACCGTCCTATTAGGATTACTTGGATTTATGACGACGAAATCTAATGGAGCGATTGGTGGGATCGATTATTCTGAATCGGAGAGAAAGATTTTAGCGCAGAGGTCCAGGAATTGGAAATGTATCACATGTGACTTGACCAATATCGAGACTCTGCCAGATGACAATAATAAAAGTGTAGTGAATAACGATTCAGATGTACCTCAATTTTCCTTTGTATATGAAGAACAAAAGAAGCCAACTCAAGACAACTCCAGCAAAAATGGTAATTCATCACATTCGCAGCCAGAAATAATTAACTCGGAAGATACCCCTTCATCTAATGATCAACCACATCAACCACATCAACAACCAGATCAACCATCATCACATCAACCACATCAACAACCATCACAACAACTACAGCAGCAACAACAACAACAACAACAACAACAACAACAACAAAACGAAACCACTCCAACACCTCCGATATCTGCTTACGTTATTGATGCCATGATCGTTATATTGGTTTCAATAGTGATCGCTTTACTGGCAAAGAAATTATCATAAAAATTCGGTATGAATCCCGCGTTAATCCCTTGACCGTGAAATTATGAACTTGGCCAAAGTTTACGAATTTTATGGAATCCTCTGAAAAAATCATGTGATTAGTCATCAATTTATTTATGTATTTATTCTCTCTTATTGTACTCCACAAATAAATAAATTTATTATGTATTATTATTATTTATTGGGACGTAACGTATAATCACATGTAGCGCATGTGTTCAGTATTCGTTAATCGTGCAAGTTGCTTGAATCCACGGAATTTACATACAATTTCTGGCCATGAAAATTTTTTTTTTGCGATCAATATGATCATTTTTTTTTTTTCCTGTTGATAGATTAACATCTTACTTTCTAACCTTTTCTCAAAATCACTTACTCTAAAGTTATCGTAACGTGTAATCCTGATCAATTTAATTGGTTGTCTTATATAAATCCATTTCCAATCGGATAAAATTTTTTTTTTTACAAAGGATCTAATAAATATCATCAATTAGTAAAAGTAATGAATGAAAAGTTGATATTCCCGAAAGTGCAGAGAACGTAACTTCCAAGATTCTATACATTTCGGCGTAAATTTATAGGCACGATTCACCAAACTCAAAAAAAAAAAAAAAAAAAAAAAAAAAATAATAATAATAATAATAAAAATAAAAATTCGCGGTGTGTTGCGGTAACATAATTACACATTAACAAATTTTTTTACTCAAAGACGGTTATGTATGGTTATTTCTGTAATTATTTTTTTATTATCCTTCAAGATTTACATCTTCGAAACTAATGATCGAATTCAAGAAGGGCCAAGCATGCGCATGATATCCTGATATCATTCGTTCATTTAAATAACCCTAAACTAATTTCTGTCGTGATTTAATTGTATATTCGCTATATGCCGTAAGATTCATAGTCTTAATGTTGTGCTTATAAATTAATAAGGGGTCATTTAAAGTTTTAAAAGAAAAAAAAAAAAAATTTTTTTTTTTTAAACCAATAAATAAATAACGTGAGGGTTGTAAACATCGTTATCTGTTTGTACAGATTTTCTGGTGTGCTTAAACAAAGGTACATTTGTACGTGCATTAACGTAAATAAATAATTTATTTATATAAACGATTTCGACATCTGTTTCAATGATTCTCAATAAACTTTAATTACTTTAATTGGAAAATTAGGGTATCAATTTGCTCCGAAAGATAAGATAACGATTGATCTGATATGATATATTTGACGTTTGTAATGCCAATTGAACATGCGAGTATTTTTTTTTTTTTTTGTTTTGATAAACAAGCATAGCATGTAAATTAAATATTTGGGCGTTGGTTGGTTCTATCTATTAAATATGTGACATAATGATAATAAAAAAAAAAAAAAATACTCTAAAAAGAATGTTCATGATTACTTTAAATCATAATTGTTAATGATTTTCATGAAATCTAACAAAGCCCGAGTAAAAATCACGCAAAGATAACAAAATTTTTCCATATTCATCGAAAAAGATTGGTACAATTAATGAATGAAAAAAAAAAACAAACAAATCCCAACCATTATTTTGATATTTACATAATACCGTAATTCCCTCGTTATCTTATCATGTTGCATGAATCAATTTTTGTACTCCTTGATAAGATTTTGTTGCAGATGAATTTGGCATAGTACGTCAGGATGCATCAACTTTAAGATAACGAGGAAACACCAGAGGATTTTTGCTTTTTATGAACTCATCCAACCACCTACACGTGAATGAAAATAAATTTTATAGTTCACTGCATTTCGGCATTTGGCGACATTGAGCATTTAACGAGAAAAAGAATACGCCTTTTGCTCTGAGTTTAGTTAGCCCCAACATATTCAAAAAATTAGGCCTGCGGTATCACATTAATACGATTACCACGTTTGGGGGATATGTGACATCCACGGTGATATTATGAGGGGACGGATTATCCCATCCCGATGTATAAATAATATTTTGTAAATGACACATTACACAAGTACCTTTCACCCTTAGAATCATGGTTAATCCTTGTAACTTTATATGACAGCTGAATTGGAACATCCGATACCCAAACCCTTGTGAGTTTTGCAAATAAGAATACAAAAATATCAAATTTATTTTTTTTTCATTTCATGCAGGAATTTCCGTGCGTGGCAATAACTTGTTATTATTTTATTTTTTTTTTTTTTACATTCTATGCATTCTACTTTGGTATATTGTGTTCTTATGTTACGTGCACAATCATTCTTTGTCTCGTCATTTTTTCAATAAAAGAAAAAAAAATGTTGAGAATAACTAGCCAGATTTGGAGAAATTAAGTGTATTATTAATGGGTAGCACCGACCTTTTTTTTTTAAACAGGTTTAAAAATTAAAAATTCATGAAGGTAAATCCGCAGCCATTGAATGGATATCGTGCACATCAAATCGTCATTTGAAGGAGGATGAAACATTTTTTCAATTTTTTTTTTTTATACTTTTTTCTGAATGAACATCACGTCAATTTTTTAAAAAAAAATTGCGCGCGACGGACAAAGTGTTGACACATCATGTATTATTCAAAAATGTGCTAATGACGAACGTGCTTGTTTGTTTCATGCAGTGTTCAAATAGACGCACAATATTAAGTGAAACGCACCGGCCTCAATCATTTAATATTTCTATTTTCAGACGTGGAATAATTTTTGGTTTTTTTTTACCCCAACGTGATTTTCTTTTTTTTCTTTGTGTTCAAATAAATTCTAAAATGGAAGGTCGAGAAGAAAAAAAAAATTTTTTTTTTTTTTTTTTTTTTCCTTCAGAAAGAAAGGCGCACTATATCTTTCGGCTTATTGCTTTTTTTTTTTTAAAAAAAAAAAAACTTTATTTTTTCTGTTACATTGTTGAAAAATGTAACAAACGCGTTGTATTTCCAAATTTCGTTTTTTGGTAGGTGGATTTGTTATTAAAGAATTCACAAAAGTCAAGTCAATCGATACATGAGGTGTTTTTCTGTGGTGTAACTTTCCATTTCCATTTGCATTCCAGTGTTTAACGTTGAATGTTGAACAAGAAAAAAAAAAAGGAAGGTAAAAGATATAGAAAAAAAATTTTTTTTTTTTTTTTTTTTTTTTCGAGGATGAATTCTTTATTTATTTTCATAAGCTTGAAATTGGCGCACCCTTGTTTACTTTTGCATATCGATTAAGGTTTTTTTTTTTTTTCTCCTTATCATTCATGAAGTTTATCTCAATTAGTTAAAAAGAATAATAATAAAAATTTGGTTTATTTTTAACAAGAATGGTTACATGAAATTTTTTTCTGTGGTATGCAACGATCGTTATTCCAGTATTCAACCAAGAATTTAAATTAAAAAATTAGACCGTGAATACAGGCGTATTACCCTTTGTTTCATTTCGCCCCGCTTTTAGGTAGTTTGTTGAACTTGTTTTCTGCGGTAAGCGCCCCTCCTTTGTTTCATGAAAAAAAAAAAAAAAAATTTAAAAAAAAAAAATTATCCCTATTATTTTTTTTGGAAAAACGCCGTCTTCTATTCATGTTACAAAAT